TTTGATCTTATTTTGGCATTATGAGCATCCTGTGTCTCGTTGCATATGCCTGTAGCCTCGAAATATTCTGCTCTAGTCTCAGGGCCTAGATTTTTCTGCCATCGATGGAATGCTGCCTGTTTGGAAGCGACAGCTCTAGAGCAGCTTCTACTGAACCAGGCCTTATCGGAAGATGTTCTCCTTGCTGTGTTCGGTATGTAGGTTTGCATCCCCAACATGATGATTTCAGATATTGTCTCAGCACATCGTGTTGGATCTGCTGAGGAACAAACTCTCTTCCATGGAAACGCTGAAAGAAACATACGAAGGCCTTCCCAGTCGGCCGAATTGTAATGCCACATGAGACGGGTAGGAATTGTGGTGCTGGATGGTACATGGAAAGAGCAGGTTGTGGAGATGAGGGTGTGGTCAGAGTTTGGAGCACAAACTTCTATTCTATATGGATCAGGATTGCTGGTGAGAAAAAGATCTAGTGTACTGGCAGACTGGTTGTTGACATCTGGAATGCGGGTTGGTAGTTCGACTAGTTGTTCTAGACCATGAGTGATGGCGAAGGCCTCAGATTGACGACCCGCATCATCTATTTTGTTAGAGAATTTGAGCCAGGCTGCGTTGTGTACATTGAAGTCTTCCATAATAATGATTTCAGCTGTTGGATGGTTCTCCTGAATGAAGTCCAGTTTGAGTGATAAAAACTCAAATAGGTTGTTATATTCATTATCATTAGGCGATAGGTAAAGGCAGCAGATAAATTTGGTCAGTTTGATATCGACTAGCCTGAACCACATCACATCAATGTCTTTCGGTTTCAAACTCTCTACACGCTGGCATGAAAGGTTAGCCTTAGCGTAGAGACAGACTCCACCTTTGAACCTGAATCGAGAATTGAGTTCATAACCAGGACAGAGCATATGGAACTTGTTGGTGGGCGAGTTCAGAGTTTCTGTTAGTGCCAGATTATCTGGTTTTTTCGTTTGTAGATGATGGTGGACGTCATTGATGTTTTTGTTGAGTCCGCGGATGTAACTTAATCTTCAGAGATGAGTCTCCTCGAGTACCTCTCCCCCGGAAATCCGAATGGAGAGGTATTTTACTTCCGGAGTGTTTTACTCTAGGAGACTTCATCATCTTTATTCATAGATAGGAGAAATTGAGGAAAAGGGTGGGGAAGACCGGAAAGTATCGACCGAACACTGAAACGTGGAGTGATCCATTTCACAGCACACATAGTCAATATGGTGGTATTTCACCGGATGATGGGACCATCTGTCACCTAAAGTCGCCTTTTACGACAGGCAGGATTTACCATTATTATTAGAAAGAGAAGAGAGTACGCAATACGATACGCGGAGTGCAACTTCCTAGCCGTTACCCATAGCAACGGCCGCCCAACCAGAGCCCACTTCCGAATTTGACATTTCTCAACTACGACAATAGCGAGATTATTCAGGGTCAGATCAGATCATGCTGAGATCATAATTTCGTTTTGTCAAGAACTGTCACAATATTTTTCATTCATTCAAAATGTCATTTCAATTGTTTAGTTCGGAATAATAGTGTGTACACCATGGCCGCGAAACTTTTTGGCGACCTTCTGATTATCTTGCCTCGGCAATAATTTTTTTTGGCGAGCCAAAAAGTTATTTCGTTTCCTAGGTATACAAATAACTATTGAAAAAGCTTTTTCCTAATTTTGACATGTAGTTTGACACTTTTCAAAACTGATGGAAGCTTTGAAATATGACATCCACACATAGAAAACTGCGCTCTATTTGAAGGTATTATCAAAACGGTATATTGCCATTTAAAAAATGATAAGGACGTTATAACTCGAATAGTGATGACGTGATCAAAAATATCAGTACAGCAAAAAATACGCGACTGGAAAAGAAATGTAGTACCCTTAGACTGACTTAGAGGAATTTATGGAAAAACTCCCAACCACGTACATTTGAAATGAAAAAGATCTTGGTGATTGAATTTATACTCGACAAGATACCTTGAGAAGAATACATCCATGAGAAAAAACTAACATCCACAAGCAATTCATGATTTTTTCTCTGAATGCCAAAAAATTAGACTTAGACGACTCTGAACTCTCATAACAACAACTTCTTTCCACGCATCTTTTCCAAATTAATATTTGCAACTGTAACTTAGCATCTATACACTATTTTTTATCGCTTGATGCGCACGAAAGAGAATCCGTATAATGTTCGATGAACATCGTGCGTACAGGGAGGATAGGGAAAGAAGGTAGGTGTTGGAGTTTTTTTGAACTTTTGGATATTATATCGCTTGGTGCGCACGAAAGAGAATCCGTATAATGTTCGATGAACATCGTGCGTACAGGGAGGATAGGGAAAGAAGGTAGGTGTTGGAGTTTTTTTGAACTTTTGGATATTATAAGTTCTTGGAAATACTTCCTTAGGCAATGCGTTTCCAGAATTGAAGCAAAAAATTGAGTGGACAATAGAAGGCAATAGAACTAAACGAAAATAAAGTACATTTTCGTAAAATCAAAAATATTTTGGGGCTCTGAGGCTTGCCCAGTTTATGTAAACTATTGATTAGAGGTGAACATCGGAACCTTGGCGTTTGCTTTCGGCAAGGTTAGAAGCACTGGAAATATCGATGATGTTAGTGGTCAATTTTTATTCTGAATTTGTCAATAATAGTATTTTGTCCAAAATACTTGACCATTTGTGTTTATTACACTGGGTGTTTCCAGCATTGAAATAATCGATAGATTGAGGTGTCCAATGAGAAATAATGACTCGATAAATGACATAAAGAAAATGTATTTCTTTACCCTTTGTATATAATCAGTTTATTTTTGGGGTAATTATCATAATGATAATATTATGATTCATTCAATCGTTCAATATTTTATTCTGGTTATTTTAATATTAGTTTCATTTACATAAATCTATTATTTGTGCCACTGGATACACATTAAATATCGAGCCTTTCAGGTTTCATTTCGATTGACACGCGCATGAGCGGTTTTGTGAGAACACGGAGAGAGGACATTTTTGAATTCACTCAAATTGTAAAAGCAGAAGTGATAAGACGCGCGCGCATAAATCGCCCACGCTATTTTCTAATTGCATAATTGAGTGGCCTTTATCAAGCAAGAAGATCGACCTGGGTACCCAGCAACGGCGAGTTCAGATGGTAATGGTGAGTCATCTATTGATCTTGAAAAGATTTAATTCTTAATTACATTAATTGAATTTCCTATTATCAACTTTTCTGTGCCGTATGCGCACACCCTTCTTCAGCAATTTTTTCATCGATTCAATTTCAGAAGCACCCTGAATATGTTCTAATGTACTGTTACAACTCCAAATTAGCACTCAACTCACAGTTGCAGCTGTTAATTAGGATATGTGAGAAAAAAGTTTCATTTTGGGGTGACAGTTCAGCCTTCATACAAAAATAACCAGCTGGAGAATTTATGGAAAAATACAAGGGTGAAGTGTCTCCCAGGTAAGCCAGGGAAAAGAACTGAAACCTTCTTGCCATGTCATTTGATGAGCTAAATTTAGATATGCAATAATAGTTGTTTATGTATCAAGGGTGTAAAATATGCTTTAAAGGACAGTATCCTGTAAGTAAGAGCCCAAGCGATAGCCAGGGATTAACAGGCCACAAAATACATACAACATTTTATGCAGGACTCATATATTTGATTTATCATTGTGAATACCTCTCCACGTTTCAAGAACGATAGAAATACATCATCTCTTCAGTGAGGGATATCATTGATGGAATCAACCTTACCATGGCAACTCAGTATTTTTTTTGAAATCCAAATGGACTATTATATTCATCTACTCACTGTATCAAAAGTAATCGTTTGCTCCCTCATTTAAGGACACAAACCTGTCAATTTACCTCCCGTGGGGGGTAAAATAATTTCTAGAGGTAAAATAAATTTACCTCCCATGGGGAGTAAAATAAATTCGAGAGGTAAGATAAATTGACTTTAGCTTGCTCTCTTGCTTCCTTGGAAGTACCTAATCAGTGTCTCTATCACAACTATAAAACCAATAAACATTCCCTTTTGTGAACTCCAATGATCTCATATTCTTCTTCATATTCCAAACTTACTCAATCTAAACTTTGAATAAAATGCAATTACACAATAAACAAATTCAATGTGACAGAAGTGTCACATTGATTTTCCTTCTAATTTTGAGAACTATGCTCTCAAATATATGCCTTCATGGATGAAATCATATATATATCTTGGGAGCAGAGGTTCATTTCCTCCCATGTGTTTTATGCCCTCTGCTATGTGTTGGACATCAAATTCACAGCAGGAGGAAATGGATACCTGTGCTCCATTGATATATAAATAGCTATAGCTGTCAATTAATGTCATCACAGATAACTCATTTTGGGTTCAATCACATCATTTTGTAACTCAGAAATATCAAGAGAACTATATATCAGAAAATGAACCAACATAACTAAAACATAAATGACCTGAATTATACAGGAATGCTTATTAGGAGTTACCAATATGCCAGGTGATAAAGTAGTCAGCAAGCAGTAAAGTGCAACTTTCCTCCTGGTCCTGCATAACAATAACTAAACATTTGCTGGATATATGTAGCTCCAAGCATTTTGGTCCAGTCCACAAATTATACCACACCCCAATGCCCAACACTTTCAAATTAGTCTTTTGATGGTGAAAGCCTATTGTTTCATGGTTTCTTATTGGAAAAGTAATTTCTCCTGCTTGTTACCAATGATGGGATTTTCGAGATTGGCTGTGGATCTTTGAAAATACAATTAGGTTATGGAGTTCTATCCACTCCAAAAAATAATAGCATAGGTTGCATATCACCCAACCCTACTTTTGAATGATTTATTCGTAAATACAGATATGAACTTTGGAGCTATTGAATTCTCAGTTTCATTAAAAACCTGAGCAAATGTAAATGTCACTGGAAAACCATATAGATTTATAAGTAGATATATCATCTTACCAGCAAATGAATCATCAAGAATGTCATCTTGATCTTGATTTAGTTGAATAGTTTCCATGTCAAAATCATCTTCCTCCTCTTTTTTAGGCAATTTAACAAGACCTGAAATGAAAAAATAATATCATTCTTGACATTGGTAGATTTTATAGCAAGATACAAACTTTTCTCAAAGCTTCTGATATTGCTGTTCCTCTCAAGAGTATCATTCCAATCATCATCAGTATTTTGAGTATCACTCAAATTTGGCTCAGTCTTCAGACTCAAACAAATACTTCTTCTTGGTCTATCACTTTCACCATTACTCTGTTCATTAGGAATTTCATTTTTCACATCTCCAAGTGTTTTCAAGTTTGAATCCCAGGGATCATTAGTATTTTCAGTACCACTTTGATCAAACTTCTTCAGACTCATTTTGATACTACCTTTTTCAATTCCAGTCTTATTGTTGATGTAACTGGGTTCATTGTGTATGCTGGTTCTAACTACATCATCAGCTAGTATTGGTGAACAATTTTGTGTAGTTAATGAATCTTCAGAAATGTTATCAATGAATATTATTGAATCTTGAGGTGATCTTGTCTGATCCAAGTCACTTGTACATGGTGACAAATGATTACTTTCTGGAGTTTCTTTGTTTTCAAATATGCTCTCATCAACCATAGTATCTTTATCACAGAGTTGTGTGAAGGTGAATTCATTATTTTCATTGATGTTGACAACACTGGATCTCCATACTGAGAGTTTTGTGGACAACTCTTCAAATAAAGTTTCATTTCGATTTTGGTTAACTTCAGCAATATAATTTTCCAAAGTTTTCATTATGACAGCTGTATTTCCTCTTAAATTTGATAAAAAACTCAATAATTTGATTCCCGCATCTTCAATCATGTTGACATCTAGCTCATGATTTGTACCCAGCTTGTTATGAAGTTTTTCAAAAGTTTTGTGTGAAAGACTACAGCTGTATGAAAGTGATTTCAGTATTTCAGACAGGTTTTTTTGGAAGCCAGCGAGGTCCTCTTCCTCAGGTTCCATTGTTGTCTACAATTGAGATGACAAATATTGAAAAATCAATGTAAGCAAAACAAAAAACTATTTCAGGTAAAAGCAACAACTTACATGTAAAATTTCAAATATAGGACTATTTATTACAGACGATATCTGAAATATACGAATGAAAAATGTATATTACATTTATCAAACTGATTTGGAGTCACTATCCACTATATTTTCAGAATAGTAAACTATTTTGTATTTTGTTTATAATAATTATTTATATTTATGTTGCACTTTGCACTTGCAGGTACTCAGCACTCTCAGCACTCAACATGTTTCATTGTTCATTGGACTGATTTGACATTTCATTAATCATATTTGATTGATTGACATTGACAGATCAACTAGCGACTAGAAACAGGAGGCAATAAATAATCTTCGCGGTGGAGGCTCGTCTTCTCTCACTCGTGTTTGTTAAAACAGCGGGCGTGTTTTTCATTCCAACATTTTGTCATGCGCATGAATCGAAGAATCCATCGTAGTGTTGCAAAATTCCGCTGGAATGTTGTTGGAAATCCATCAAACTGTTGTAATAAAATGCGCACTTTCAAATCGCTTTGCGGGAATCCAGCGGTTTGGAGGAGACTGACATGACAATTGACACATTTTACGTATTGTTTCTCGTTGTTAATTGAAAATATAGAGGAATTTTTGAATTTTGAGATTGTTGAGAGATTTGAGAATATGGAGAAATAAGTCTTAATCAATAAAATGGTATCATCCTCTTCTAATTCTGAAGATACATAACGACTGACACACAACGAAATCCTTTTTTCCATCAATGTGTTGTATAATCCATTCTTCCATCGTTCCCAAGGCTATCATCGTTCCAGCATAAATTTCATCAGAACAATTGGTGACGTCACGACAAACAACCGCATCTATCAATGCGCACTTTCTTCGATGGAATGAAAAACACGCCCTTTTATAGTTCCATCCTTTTTCAATTCTGGGGGATTTTTGAGATTTGTTGTTTTTTAGGTTATATTGAGGAGTGCGCCGCGTTGCAGCCACATCTCGTTGGAGCCAAAGATATTGTGGCTCTAACGAGACATTGCGGTATACTTTCATCTCGTTCAAGCCACATTTCGTTGCACCCACATCTCGTTGGAGCCTCATTTCGTTGAAGCCACATTTTGTTACAGCCACATCTCGTTGGAGCCACAGGTAAATAACCAATACCCTTAATTGGTGCAGAATCAAGCCATGAACTTCGTTCACGACCGATCCTGAAATAATATCATTGAAATAGCGAATCACTATCAGCCTCAACAGCACAGTTAATGCCTCCACAGTACTTTTTTCAGCGAGGAAGGATTGAAAAGGAGACTACTTTTTTAAAACCATCTAACCTTACTCAGCCTGAATGAACCTTCTTCCTAAAAAGACAGTACTTTTTTCAGGAAGGAAAATATCCCTCTGCATAAAAAAGGACACTACTCTTTTAAACCAACTAACCTTACTCGGCCTAAATGAACCTATCTTCCTAAAAATTATATTTTTCGGAAAATCACTTGAGAGAACAAAATAAGAAATGCCGACCTTCTCAGGCATTAAACCCGGGTCACCGAATCTGGGCCCAACGAGATGTGGCTGCAACGAGATGTAGCTGCAACGAAATGTGGCTCCAACGAGAAATGGGCCCAACTAGATGTGGGTGCAACGAAATGTAACTTGGAAGAAACGTGGATTTATCCAGATGAGAGTGTCTCGTTAGGGCCACAATAACCTTTTCAGTATAATCGAGATTTTTGAATTATATGTGGCAACAGCGCATCGTTCGGGTACGTTCGGAGACTGTGGGCCTAACGAAATGTGGCTCCAACGAGATGTGGCTGCAACGAAATGTGGCCCCAACGAAATGTGGGTGCAATTGATGCTCCCATATTGAGGTCATTGGCGCATTATATGTAATTTCCATATGGAATTCCTGATTCAACTATACCAAGATATAGATTTATAGATGAACAGTCCCCTAGATTTAGAGTTTACTACTCCAGCATAAGCATAACCTTTGTGAGGTAGGGAACATATAAATTGTACTGAAAGCTCAATATATTTCAATAAAAGATACTGTTCTTAGACTGCATACTAGGGTTGACTGAATTGACTAAATGAATTCTGATTTCAATCTGAGCAGTAGTTTATCTATGAGCTGAATGAGCTGAGCCTTATGATTGAGAAGTGGTGGAAACCTAAACTACTGTACTCATGTCATATGTGTGCTAAATATATTTTCGGAAATCCAACTCGGAGAAGAATTTATGGAGTGACTAATATCACAATATGTATAAAACTTCGTCTAGGACGAAAAGTAGGCTGATAGAAAGTAATACTTAGAATGTGCAGGAAAATAAAGAATAGAATATATTTTATCCTCATGCATGTTATACATTTTCCGTCTCCCTTAAATAAAAAGTCATTTTCGAACAATTGATTGATGAAAGTACCAAAGAAGTAGGTATACGCAGAATGACTTATAATCACGTTATTTTTACTATTGCCTCCTACATATTTTCTATTTGTGATAGAGTAATAATTATATAAATTTATGTCTTTCGTCATATTGGATCCGTCATTTTGAATTTTCCAATTTTGACGAAACACCGAAAACCCCCAAATACCAATTTTGAATAGAATCGAATCTACATTACAAAACTCGTCCACCATAATGGATTCGCCATCTTGAATATCCCTGTTTTGACGAATTAATTATAATCTCCGACCCCGGGAATTCCCAGATACCAATTTTGATTTTTGAATTGAATATCGGATCATAATTACAAAAATCGTTCGCCATATTGGATCCGCCATCTTGAATATCCCAATTTCGACAATAAATCATGAAGTTCGACCCCGAAAACCCCCAGATACCAAACTTTAATAGAATCAGATCATAATTAGAAATGCCTTTCGCCCATATTCGATCCGTTATCCTCAAGTTTACAATTTTCACGAAACAATCATTATCTCCAACCCCGAAAACCCCCAGATACCAATTTTGAATAGAATCGGATCATAATTACAACAGTCAATCCCCATAATATGATCTTCCTCAACAAGTAAATTTCCTGTACATACATATTATCAGAATTTTTAATGATTTTCTATCTCAGATTTTCTGTAGCGCCCATGGACGTGACGTGTCAGCAATGTCAGGGATGCCAGTAGACAAAACTAAAGTCTCTAGATCATTAAAAAAGAGTGCAGCTATGATTTGTCCGTACCCTGTTAAGATTACTCTAACGTCAATTTCCATCAAGCGACCCTACCCAAACCTACCTACCTCGGAAACTTGAATGATGCTAACTCGATCACTGACTCGGGTTGATTTTGCGTGACCCTACTCAAAAGCAGGGTCGCCAGAGTTGCAAAGGACACCGCATGCGCATTACGGAATTTTAGTCAATCAAAAAACGCGGGAGCTCACATTTGACGAAAACAATAATAATAAAATAATTTGCATGTTGGAAAAAATCACGACCGGTGATATACCTGTTCTTTTCAATCTTCATGATTTGATTAAAGTAATTCATTGAGAAGAGAATTTGGGTAGGGGCGATCAAATAATTACTTGAATATAATGTGACCATTTTCGTCTGTCGAATTCATGAAACCACAAGAATAATATAATATTCAGTGTTCCTAACCTGACACGTTCGTAAACGTTGAACACGAGTAAATGATACGAGTTTTTTGGTGGGTAAACTTATCTCTGCCTATCTGGATCGAGTTATCAACCCAGAGTAAGTTTCCGAAAACGCCTTTTGAATTTATAAGGACGGAAAGTGAAGGATAGAAACAGTCATATTGGATTGACAAGTTTCGTATTGTTTTTTCCCTACGTCGGCATCAACGCCTATTGGTCGATTTCGTTACCTATAGAGACAGAAGTTGCTAGCGTTTCGAGGACGCTATGATTCATATAATGGTTATAGCTTATGTCGTTGATTGATATATTATCAACGCTTATGTAGAAGGGATCAGAAGTAGTTTAAAATAGAGAAATGGCTGCCGTTTCCAGAAGTTCATTGGTGATCAAGTCACTGAATAGCTAAAAATCTGGAGGGTGTCTCCTATGCAGTGATTAATCACTCGGCCTAGTTGAACTTTCTTCCTAAAAAGTATATTTTTCGGAAAATCACTTGAGAAATCTGAATAGAAATAAGCCGAACGTCGCAGGCATTTGATTTGGGTCACAGATTAACAAACCTTACTGTGTCTGGGTCGTCACACAGTCAACTACGCCACGAGTTGTTGTATCTGTGTGGTAGCACAGAATACTTGGGTATTCTGTGGTGGTAGGATGAAGAAATAATTTAGTCGCTGTACCCGAACTTGCACAAATACGAACTAGTCGAACTTACTCACTTTTACGCCATATCCATCATAGATATTATTTTCTCTTCATTCATAATATATGATATTCAACACAATTATTATCCATTATTCAAACCCATCATAAATAATCTATTTCAATAATTATAATCGTCTCCTAATAACACGCTAACTCTTTAGCTCTTGTTGACGTTATCTACCGGCAAGAACTGAATCATTCATACTTCTGAACAACCAATGGGAGCATAACAAAATAGCTAGAATTCCCCTGATATTGTAGAGGTGGAGTGTGATCAAGAATCTCAAAATTCGAAAATTCCTCAATATTTTCAATAAATATACATAAAATGTGTCAGTTGTCATGGCAGTTTCCCCCGAACCGATGGATTCTCGCGAAGCGATTTGAAAGTGCGCATTTTATCAACAACAGGTTGATGGGTTTCCATCAACATTCCATCGAAATTTTTCAACAGTTCGATGGATTCTGCGATTTATACGCATGACTAAATGTTGGAATGGAAAACGCACCCATAGATTACTGTAGTGTGAACTAGGGTCCCTTGATGGGAATTGACGTTAAAGTCATCTTACGTATTGATTTTTATCAGCCTACTTCTCGTTCTAGACGAAGTTTTATAGATAGTGTGATATATTAGTAACTCCATAAATTCTTCTCCGAGTTGAATTTCTGAAAATATATTCAGCACACATGACATGAGAACAGTAGTCTAGATACCCACATCGAGGTTTCCACCATTTCTCAACCATAAGGCGCAGCTCATCCAGGTCATAGATAAACTATACTGCTCAGCTTGAAATCAGAATTCATTCAGTCAATAAAGTCAACCCTGGTATACAGTCTAAGAACAGTCTTTTTTGATGCTGGAGTAGTAAACTCCAAAACTAGAGGATTGTGGTATATTTGAATCAGGAATTCCATATGGAAATTACGTATGATACGCCAGTGACCTCAATATCACCTAAAAAACAACGAATGTCAAAAATCTAGTGTTCAACCCTATAATTGGACAAGGATGGAACTATATAACTGTTTCACAAACACTTTAAGCGGCGTTCACAACCAAACTTTTTACGTTTTGCTTTTTACGTTTCGTATTCTGATTGGTGAAGCAGAATCTGAAATTAAACGTGAACTAAACCAATGCAAATATCATTCACAACAACAAAAAATTAACGTGACTTTTTATGACTCACTTGCCTTGGTTTTATAATTTGTTTTTCATCCTGAAATGAAGTAAATAATTATAACGATAATATATTGATCAGACAATTTATAATATTGAATTGATAGAACTGGCGGTGACGAAGATTGATCCTTATTCAATAACTGAAGAGAAAAATCAATCTTCAACATAAAAATAATTAATTGAACAGTATACCTATCTACTATTCTGCAGATTCACGAAAAAATCATGAAAACATTATCATAACTTCCATATTATTACAGAATGTTCCATATTATTCGCCAATTTTTACTATATTCACAGACGATGGCTTCTTGCAACGCAAAAAGCTGAATATTTTCAGCTTTTTGCGTCATTTCAATTACAGATTTTGCTTCACCAATCAGAATACGAAACGTAAAAAGCAAAACGTGAAAAGTTTGGTTGTGAACGCCGCTTTAGAGTGAGAGGAGACGAGTCTGAGACACCTGAGATCTATCCGTACCCTGTTAAGATGACTTTAACGTCAATTTCCATCAAGGGACTCTATAGGCGTTTTCGGAAACTTACTCTGGGATGTTGACTCGATCTGAACTGGTCACGTGATGGATCAGTCGAATCACTTATCCTAATACTATAGTTTACGAACTTATCAGGTTACTATTTTATTGAGTTAGCTTTATACCTCTTCGAATAGAACTTCTTGATTTCTTACAGCTGTATGCAATTTTTTCAGTTTGCTATACGATATCAATATTTTCGGATCAATTTCTCCATATCTTTAAAAACATACCACTAAACTCTTAAAAGATACACGTTGTTATTGTTCTAGAAATGATGAATATTGCTTCTGCTCATGATGTTGGTGTATTTTCATCATCAAACTAAGCTATTCAACATAATTCACTTCTTGTTCAATTGATGAAATCAAATAAAATCTGAAGTGACCTTAGAAATAAATGAATCGTGAGTAGTTCTGTGGTAGTAAGTGTATGATCTAAGGTAGTAACTCTGGCTTTGACTCTGGCTGACCCCAAGGATTATAAACTCTAGATAGCAGGGTTGCGAAACATGAACCCGAGTTAGTGATCGAGTAAGTAACACCGAAGTTTCCGAACATGGGTATGTTACTCGGGTTAGGTAAACGAACGTGCAGGTTAGGGATCGAGTCAACCCGAGTAGGTTTCCGAAAACGCCTAATGACTTCAACGTCAATTTCCATCAAGGGACCCTAGTGTGAACAACGAAGTGTGAGCGGTTTTGGTTCACTTCTGAATTCAGCGAGTGCGTTCCAGTAGAACGCCTAGTCATTTTGCCGCTAAATACTGAGACGATGCGAGGTTGAGGTGTTTGAGTTGTGTCATGCGCATAATTGACACTATCCAAAGCAATTGACTCTGACAGTTAAATGGTGGTTCTATGGCATATATGGGCGGTATATCAATTCAATTTATATAGCGCTTGATATTATATCCAACATGTTAACAGAAGCACTAGTGACTTTTGCCATTCTAACTGCATGTCACGTCTGTTATATTTGTTTTATATGCGCCTCCACATCGAATCAGGTGCAACTAGAAAACGAGGAATTCTTGGGTCGACTCAAGCACCGAGTTTTCGCAAATAGAAGAACACCAACGAGAATGTTGAACTTGATTGAAAGAACTATCTCAAATTTATCAATAAAGTTGAATTCCAAAGTCATTTTCTTCTCAGTGGAGGAGCCTTCAATAAACTTATGAATGCAATGGATCAACAAAAATGAACCAATAATTATGACGTGTTTCTAAACGACATAATGAAAGAGAACGATTACCAAATTCGGCCACGAGCCGTTACAAGAGCTCGGAACGAATCATTCGCTCCGTGAATGCGTGTCGTCACATCTCATACGGGCGTCAGTCCACCGAACCAATGACGGCTAAATATCTGGACTGTCTGACGGGGTATGACCCGTCAGACAGTCCAGATATTTAGCCGCCATTGACCGAACTAAAAAACAGGACCAGCGTACATCGTACAGCTATGTACTACAGAGACTGCATTCAACACTATGTACACTGCTAGAACGCACCTCAGGAGCAAGGATTATAAACTCTAGACCTTGCTCTAGACCCACTTCATTGCCAAAATCAGATAACGGCAACGCTGGTTAGGTTTTGACATTGTTGACAATTTTGACTTTGACATTTACAGTGACACTGAGAATTTCGATATTTCTGATGATATTTCTCTGCAGATTTGATGATTTTGATTTTACTTTGAGTTTTGAGTTGATTTGAGAATTTTATTTTAGCAAAGAATACTGAATAGTAGCCTCTTTAATTTTACCGATTTTAGTGTAATCCATTGGGCACGATTTTTGCATACATTTGTGATATATTTCTCCTTCTTGATATTAAGCATCTTCAAAATATATTCAAATGGAAAATGAAAGTAAAGATTGTCCTGTGTTGGACACTATAGAATCATTGACCAAGGAGGCAGAATCATTGAAAAAGAAATTGGAAGATGAAAGACTGAAACTGAATGATGTTACATGTAAGCTTTAGTGCTTTTCTCCCACTGCAGACCCACATCTGAAAGTTGCATGTATCTTTTTTATGGTTTTATAGTGGCAACTGTTGCTGAACGCTTGGATATCATCAATTACATGAATATTAAGCCAAGAAGAACTCTAAAAGGCCATCAAGCAAAGGTTTTATGTTCTGATTGGTCTCCAGATAAAAGACATATTGTATCATCTTCTCAGGTATGCCTCAAGGTATTCTGTATACCTACTCCAAAGTTGTTCTTGATATAACTTCCTCCTACTATAAAATAGTTCAAATGGTATGTTCATAGAATTTACTAATTTTCAATGGAGATTTAATTTTCAACATAATAACAAAATTCAAACAAACTAAACAATCACATGATGAGAATTAGTGCTATCCCCTAATACTATGTAGTACATTTAGACCTGAAATCAAACTTTGAGAATCATATCCACCTGATGAAAAATAGTGTATCACTAGACCTGAACATTTTTATAGCTCATCTTCCAAGAATGTCACCCAATCCTAGAATATGCTCACCTAGATGCTCACTTTATACAAAACCAGGAAGAATTGCAGTAGAAATATCTAGCTAAGATACCAATTTCTGAGAGACTTATAAAGTTATCCAGGAATTTTATCCAGAATTCCAATTTCCAAATTCAATTACAATCTTTACAGAGACTCAACTGTAATACTAAGACTTACCTAATTAGTTACTAGAAAATACCATCATGGAACACCTACTAAAATATTTACTGGAAAATTTATCATCAATTTAACAGTAGTATAATACTTGTGTTTCATTTCCTTGTATAATAACGAAATATCTTTTACATAACAACAATAATGCTGTTTACAAACACATTTAATCATTGATGTAATTTACATTGCTCTATATTGAGTTAAAAACTATATCCCAGCAAACACAGTTACATCACAGAGATATTGCAGCACTGTAACAATTGTGACCTGCAATATCACATTCTATGCCATACGTTATTTGTGGATGGAAAAGCCATGTATTTTTGCAATAACATTACATCTGATGCAAGACAACATCACCGTAAAATGAACAGTTTCTTTAAATATGGTGTGATAATAGATACACCAATGATTTCTGATGACATCTAATATTGATTATGTGATGTTGTGACTAGTTGGTGGTCCCTCGGGTACCCCAATAAACTTAGCAGAACCATTTGAACATTTCAGATTTGCAATAATCCTATAATTTGAACCTAATTTAGTACTATTACCATTTTCCGAATTTATTACCCTTCATTTAACAGCCTTGTCAACCTAGCATAACCATAGCTGAAGATTTATTTTTTTGAAAAATTCAAATATTCCATATTTTATTACCATTTAATTACTAACTTATAACCATAATCACGAATTTTTTACTCATCATTTGAAGGATAAAACCACCGATTTGTCACCATCTCAACCTAGTAGAACCAAAACTCTAATCAAATGTTATTTGAAATTCTATTGAGTCATAAATAAGTTACTAGTTTATTACTAATTTATTACCACATTCACAAATTTACAACCCTTCTTTCATTAGAAAAAACCAATGGCTCTGCTTGCTTTATGTCAACCTAGTAGAGCCATAGCTAAAATTTATTTTTTTTTGAAAATTTCAAATATACCATACTTTATTTTTGAGATTGAGCTAGTAAAGAAATAGTATCAAATTATGGTATTATTGAAATAAAAAAAAAAGATTTTTAGCTATGTCTACTAGGTTGACATAAAGCTAGCAGAGCCGTTGGTTTTTTCTGATGAAAAAAAGGTTGTAAATTCGCGAATGTGGTAAAAAATTAGTAATAAACTACTAAACTAGTTACTTATTGATGACGTCATAGAAATGTTAATAACATGTGATTAGAGATTTGGTTCTGCTAGGTTGAGATGGAGATTGACAAATCGGCGTTTTTTTTCATCGAATGGAGAGTAAAAAACTCCTGATTATGGTTATAAGTTAGTGATCAAGTAGTAATAAATTATGGCATATTTAAAGTTTTCAAAAAAATACATTTTCAGCCATGGTTCTGCTAGGTTGACATACAGCTAGCAGAGCCATTGTTTTTTTTTTTTGTTGAATAAAGGGTAATAAATTCGCGAATATGGTGATAAATTAGTTCTAAATTATCGGACTATTGCAAATCTGAAATGTTATAATGGTTCTGCTAAGTGTATTGGTGTCCGTCGGGTCTCCTGTCCATTCAATCGTCTCTTCAGCGGCGCTATCCTTGGTACCTATGAACCTCTATTATAATGAGATTCACTTACTCATAGTAGTATATGTCAGCGAGATGTAAGCCAACCAAAAATAGTTTGATAGCAATGTAACGAATGTTTGCGAATTTAGCTTCACTTTGTTGAGTTACATATATGTCGCAGATGTTTTTGCTTCTGTATATCACAGCCATGAAACATTTGTAATATCATAGTGTTGCCTCAACTCGACAACTCAGAGATGTCATGTCACAGATGTGTTTGCTTATGAACATCGCAGCGATGGAACGTTTGTGATATCGCACTTTTTCCTAAATGTGACATCTCAGAGATGTCATATCATGTGTTGGCTGGGATGTTGAACTGCTGAATAGATCATATTATGATTTGATGCCCTACAGGGTTAGCAAAAAATTGCATCCGTTTTGTTCTTTCAACTATTTTCTCTTGAATATAATAAGTGATAAGTGGCGATGAGTGTATAATTCATTTGAAAAATCCACGGAAATAATTAAATATCTTAGTATTTTCTAGAGAACCACTACAAACATTCAGATTATTCTGCTAATCATAAAAAGTAGTTGAATGGAGAGTTGAATGCAACTGATTTAGTAGTAGGTATCAAGGTTGCGAGAATTGATGATTATTTGTAGATATAATACATGTACATATAATCATCAATTCTACCAACCTTGGTAGGTACCTACCTATTATTCCTCTTATTGAGCCTATCTGAATTTGAGTCTTGCCATGAAGAGCATTAGGTTTAGTCAAATTTCAACTAATACTATATTATAGATGCCAGATTCCATTTGAGACACTCATTGAGACAAGTGATTCAGGAATAATCATTCCAGACTAAATGTCCTGTGGGGTAATCACGGCCAAAAAACTTATACACCCAACTTCCTATGGGGCAAAACCGTGATTGTACCTCGGGAACCATGTGTATGGTCTCTAGTAGCCAAGTAAAGATGCTGAAAATTGTCTTTGGCTTCTTCGGAAATAGCCCGATTTCTCTCTCGCGGGCGTAAAGTAGTCCGGCGGGCAGTAAAACAGGTGATCGGGTGGTAAAGTGATTTCACTGTTTTTCCAGTAATTTCTAGTAGACTTTTTTTTTAATGTTTTTTACCAAATGAATTTAAAATCATTGATAAATTTCATATTGACAGTTGTTATTGTCTGGTCGAATTATATCATTAAATAGTCTTGGACTGTTTGGACGTTTCTCATTTAATCTCAAGTCCAAATTGACAACAACCAAAAGTCCCTTATACAGGGTCAAATCTAACATTCACAATAGGAAATTACCAATAATCTTCAACATTCTCCCCCCTCTGGAGTATCAGGATTGATATCCAACCGACACAACTTTGCAACAGGTCTCCGGAAAGTTCCAGTTCTGGTTCGGATATCTGCTACTCGTATCCTGTTATCAGGTCCCCGAAAAATATCCTCTACTATGCCCATTTTCCATAAATTTCTTGGCATGTTTTCTTCTATTATTATCACAACGTCGTTTTTTCTCAGCGGTTGTGAATCATTTGTCCACTTCGTTCTCTTCGATAGGGTTGGCATATACTCTTTCGTCCACCTTTTCCAAAATGAATTCGCTAATTGTTGTGTCTTATGCCATTCCTTCCTAACGCATCATTCTCCTTCAAAATGTGTAAGGGGCTTCTCCCCATTTGACGTACCCAGTAAAAAGTGGTTTTCAGTCAGCGCTACCATGTCAGCAGGGTCAGTCGAAACGTAAGTCAATGGTCTACAGTTCAAAATGCTCTCTACTTCCGCTAAAACAGTCGTCATAGTTTCTTCTTTCAGTTTCTGTCCATTCAAGATTGTGTTGAATATTTTCTTGGTACTCCTGATCAGCATTTCCCATGTCCCTCCCATGAAGGGTGCACCTGGTGGTATGAATCTCCATTTGATTCCTTCAAGCTGAAGTATTCCTTCATTTGGTCGTATTACATTTTTTTCTTTCCTTTTTTCAATTCCTCGGCGGCCCCTCGGAAGTTTGTCGCATTATCACAATACATTTCTTTAGGGGTTCCCCGTCTGGCTATCATACGTCTGATTGCCATGATGGCCGCATCTGTGGATAAAGAGTGGGCAACCTCTGAATGAACTGCCCGGATGGACAGACATGTGAATATTACTCCCCAACGTTTCTCTGATCTTCTGCCGATTGTAACTACCATGGGTCCGAAGTAATCAATGCCAGTATACGTGAAAGGTCGTAGGTTTGGGGTCAGTCTCATCACAGGTAGTTGTCCCATCATCGGAATCGAGGGTTTGCAACGGTTAAGTCGACATTTCATACAGCTGGAAAAGACAGATTTCACGGCAGCTCTAGCATCCAGGATCCAATATTTCTGTCGCAATTCATTCATAACTATTTCCACTCCCTAGTGACCGAGCTTCTCATAGTATTTCTGAATCAAAAGAACAGTGAATCGGTGTTTTGGATGAAGAATGTATGGTCTCTTTGTTCGGTCAGTCATGTAAGGGGTGAGGTTTGTCCTCCCATCCAATATCAACAAATTCGTTTTCTAAAGCTGGAGTGAGTTTTCGTAGTTTACTTTGACGTGGTAGGGATTAAATTTTCTCCAATTTCTTCATATCATCAGAAAACGTGTCCTTTCGACTTTGGCGAATCCACCTAATCTCTGCCTTCTTGATCTCATCGGGTGTTGAAACATTGTCAAGCACTCTGTTGCACTTTCGGATTTAGTCCGAATTAGTCGATGATAATTTGAAAATTTATAGGAATCTGGTAAACCTGTTTCTTCAGTAACGTTTTCCGTTACGTGGCTCACAAAGGTCTTCTCAACTGTTGACTTGCATCCATGAACATCCTTCTGCATTGGCCAAAGAGATTCATCAGCGCTAAGAAATTCTGGGCCAGACAACCATTTCTCAAAGGTAATTTCCTTGAATCCTTCATCGCTGTATGTCCTGGTAGCTAAGT